GGCAGAAGGATACAACTAGACACAAAGATCTGTTTCCTAATTGTCCTTCCATAAAACAATGTATGAGTTTACTTTTGAAAAGTGTTGATGCCGGTTATATTGGGAACATTATTCTCACCTTAGGATATGGGTTACAAAATATTGTGAAGGGTGCGGTCAGGGCAGGATTTACTCTCTCTCTGCTGCCCCAAGGCCAGGTTCCTCAATGACTCAAATGCGCCGCCCTAGCCGCCAACCGACTAATTTAAGATGGAAACAAAATGGAATCTATTTTTAAAATAGTTTGGGGTTTGTTTGTTTTTTGCTGGGGAAAAATAAACACCGTCAATGACATCTCTTAAGGCAGTGTATTGGAATAGTTCTATATCCTCTGCTATTAGAGGGTTTATAAAGCTGTTAAACATTGTATCCTTTGTTTGTGTTTGCAAACCTTTAAAACAGTTCAGTAAACATCACTCAGTAGAACTCTTTGGCTTAGTGCAGTAGAAATACATTTATTGCATGATACGTTCTTTAAAAATCCAAAAATTCACTCTGGTCCCATCAGACGTTATGTTCCTTCAGCATTAGAAACTCATTCAGTCGTCTTCTAAACAACCATTCAAATTCTTTCTGATGCCTTCTTCTGAAATAGGATTGTAAGGAATCGGAAATAGTTGATCTGGAATTTTGCAGGGTTGGATATAGCCATAAGAGTATAGGTACCAAGCAATAATAACAGTGGGAACATGTATATCCCACTTGGCAAGGCCCTTCTCTGCCTTTGTAGAGTATCTTGCAATACACGTGAAATCATAAAGTTAGTGATTTACTGTCAACAATCTAGTCCAGCTTGTGAAGATTTGTCCATATTGGAGCACTGTGGAGGTTGGCAAGAGACACGCTGCGGATTAAAGTCTTAAAACGCACAGTTCGTAAACAGCTGTACAGAGGGTAGAACAAATTCACACAATGCGTCTCCGAACGTCAAGTGAATCTGAGGCCCCCATTTCTATCATAATGCAGGATGGGAAAGGCTGCTCGTCTCCACCAAGCCATCAGGAGCAGCTGGATGAGCTGGAGTCAGAGGTGGTCGATTGTCCCATTCTTTGGTACTGATGGCTAGAAAAGCATTCACCACCGCGATTATTCCACGCCCGTCTGCCGGAGAAGAAACTGAAACACAAACCCCCCCCCCCCCAAAACAGCAGAGATTCCAGAACACAC